TAGTTTCATGGCTGTCTGCTTAAAAATTACATTGTTGCTTAAGTTTTTTGCAGGCCAGTATATTTTGTTTTACTGTTGATAGAAGTTACTTTTAGGTACAGTAGAATCCTGATTATTTGAGGTAATGTAGATAGATGTACCAATGTACCATATTTACAATCCAGCTGGTGGGGATTTCAAAATCTCTCAGAATAGAGTCTAAAAAGATTGATCATCTTTGTTTTTAAATTTATTTATTTATTAATCTATAAATTTTTGATATTATATTGACTTAGTAATATAATATATAGTATATTATATTAATAATAATATAGTAATATAATAATATAGTAATATTGGTAATTGCTCTATTCAAAGATTGATTCTACAATCAAATACAGTTGAACTCAGTTATAACAAGCAAAATGCCATAACAATTTAAATTTATAATGTATTACCATGCATTTTCTCACGGTTATATTGAGTGTACTTCACGGATATACTGATAAAATTTTTGGTAGTTATGCAAACATATGAACATTCTTAATTGTTCATGTAGTAAGAAATGTAGTACTGAATTTTGGAAGAGATAAAACTGAAAGGGTTACTTAGTTTTATGACCTGCATGGATTACAGACCTATTTATCACTGGACTTTCTGTTTGTTGACAGTTCCTCTCTTTGTTGACTAGCTTTTGATCCTGCTCTGCTAATTTACCTAATCATTGCTATAGTTGTAAAATTACTGTATACTGTAGTACTGTAATTAGAAACAAACTCTTCCATGAGAAAGATGTCTGTGAAGAAAAAATTATTTGAGAGTTAGAACTTGGTACTAAAAATGTCCAAGTGTGTTTAGAAAGTTTTCTTTGAGTGTATCGACATTATGGTAAAATAATCATCAATTTTAAGATTTGTAGATAAGAAGACTAACTGAAATTGAGCATATTATTAATTAGCACTATCTTTAATTACAGAAAAATAAATTGTTCAATATTAATTATATTGTAGTTTACATAACTATTAACAAAAATATAATATAATGAATGTAATTACATATTTACTTATTTATTTTTTGCTTTTTGAATCTATCAACTTATTTAGAATTAAGAATTAAAAGATATATTTCACAAATCATCAGTACTATGGTGTAGCTACAAAATTTTGCTGCCTGCAGGGTGCCCTCTGTGTTTGCACTCAAAGCAGTCACCCATTCTCCCCCTAGTAATGTCAATGCTCTTCACAGATATAATGACATAGTAACAGTTATAACAAAGAAATCTTGTTTGTCTCCTAGAGCTTATTATAACTGAGTTTGACTGTATATATTTTAACTCGTTCCACCATATAGGCACTAAAAGGGCCAGTTTAGTAAGCTTGTTATGGGACAGTCAGGTCCACAGTGGGATAATGCTGGGTATTTTGACTCATCTGAATTCATTCTTGGATCTCCAGAGCAGTAGGCTGCCACCTTAACTGACCATCTGGTTGTCACAATCAAATATTAAAAATGAGCAAAATTGGGACAGTCCCCAGAAATCAGACACATTAAAGGCACACTAGGTAATTTCTCATCCCAGACATGTCTCTGAGCAACAAAAATCTGTTGACGTTTAGCAATGTTCAAGAGACGAGTTGCCTAAGTTATATCTTATGTGATAATTGTAAATTTTTGCTAATGGTGCAAAAGCATGTATTTTTGAATACCATGTCATAATATTCTTTAATAGTGTGGTTATACTTTAAATTGGTTCATATAATTGAATTAATGAAATTAAACATCAGTGTTTTATCAACCATCCATGAGCAACTATCCTTCATTTTTATTTTAGTGTTGTAAACAAGAGCTGTACTTATGTGATAAATCTACACATACTCATTTGTTACAGCAAGCAACACTTACTGTCAAAGTAACTTGACTGCCTGATGACTGCTCTCTCACTGCCTGAGAAACAAGATTTCTGTTGCCTGGCAACATTTCTCCTACAAAAATACCCAGTGTGTCACAGTCTTAATGTAGACCAATGATACCTTAGATAATAGAGAGGTTGTGGCCGAAGTTTCCAATGTGAAAATGTGTACATCGGACGTTCAGCGCCGCTTTCCTGTAAGCCTAGAATTTTGACAATGGCATTTGGAACGTCGGTGGAATCATGCTCAACATTCCAAATGCCATTGTCAAACTTCTAGGCTTACAGGAAAGTGGCGCTGAACGTCCGACGCACATGTTTTCGCGTTGAAAACATCGGCCGCAACCTCTCTAATAAAGAGAACCACCATCATTTTGAATAAAACTTCATTCCATCTGTAGTAGTTTTTATAGTATAAAATAAGTTATAATATTTATAGTATAACTGAAAATTTAAACTTATTGCTTTAACAGATCCAGTAATTTCCAATTATTAATTAGTAAAAGATAATTAATAATGCTTTTGCCTATAATGACCAGCTTATAATTGGATAACTTATATTTAATACTTTAGTAGAAATATCAGATAACTAAATAAATAATGTCATTTTTTGAAATATGAATAAAAATGTTGCATTTTTTTTAGTTTAAAATAATTTTATTCATTAAAATATTTACCTTTACATTCAATTAACTTTTTCACTGGGGGCAATTTGAAAACACCATTTTTATCATTAAAAATTACTTCCTCTTTTATATTTGTATGGTTTGTAAATTGTTTTCCATGCATATGATTATGCAAAGGTTAAAAAATTGTGGTAATCCAAAAGAAATAAGCTAGCAGAATAGGAAGGATGGGGTGATCATTCCCATCCCAATTGAATTATTTTGTTTCTTGTAATTGTTGCAATATGTGAGTATTATCTTGTAAAAACAAAAACATCTTGGTGATTCACCACCAAAGATTGCTGTTTTAGCTTTAATTTATCATGTACTCTTTGTAGCTGTTCACTTTACAAACCTGATATGAAGGTTTGACCAACATTCAAGTACTCATGACGAATAATATTTATTTTACCTCTTGATGTTCCAAAATACTCTATTAACCCAAAAGTAAATAAATAAAAACCCATAAAATATTTTTCTGCATGTATGTGTCAGTATCTATTTTACATTATGTCTCAAACTCCATTGGGATAAAAGAATGATAAAATATAAAGTAAATTATGAAAAATTAAGAGTAAGATATAAGAAATGATTTTTACAAATAAAATAAAAAAGGAATTATGTGAATTAATGAAATTAAATAAAATAACTTTTAATATTGTTCCTCATAAGTTACTTAAATTTTTTTTTATTTTAACAGTAAACCTTATAAAGCTCGTCAAAGATTTGGAAAAAAGTATGGTAGAGGTGAGAATATTTTTCAACCATATTTTTATTAATTGATTATTTAGATACTTTAAATATTTGGTGATCAATAGTAATCTGTTCTTCACTAATTTCTGCTTCTTCATCACATGGGACTATTGCTAGTCAAGGGCATGGGAAGGTATGCGTGTACCTTCCTCAACCTCTTACTATTCATCAATTGATGAAACATACATTGCAACATCATCATTAGCATTGATAAAATTGGCAAAATCATCATCTGCATTCATATACTTACTCATATACATACTCATAATACCCATTGATTTCATTTTCTTTGTTGTCAATCACATTTGTATAAGTATTGTTATTATTGCTTTTAATGATTTTTCTCCTTGCAAAACAACTTCTAATTATTGTCACAGGAACAATCTTCCAAGAAGCCACAAAATTTCACATAGCATCTAAAACATTCCATGATTTGATATCATTAAGATTGCTTGAAGTTTTTCACATCAAACAATGCAGCAGTTGTTTTTGGTACTTTCTCTAGATATTATGGATGATTTTTTTGATCAAGTGGTTGAAGGTAGCTTGAAATATGTGAGGGGCAGAAACAGAACATGAACTCATTGAAGGTCTAATCCTTCTACAGCATGTGATAAATCCCCACCAAGAAACTTGTGTGTTCTGCTTGTCCATTTGCCATTCAAAACTCATCATCAAGCTTCAGAAGATGATGACTGATGTTCAAGCATTTTTATTGTCTTCTTATTGGTAAGGTAGCTATTGAATTTCACTTATTCATCTTAAATTGGTAGTTTCCAATTATTAATGGGAGTAGTTTTTCAGTACTGTAAGCATTGCAACACATCGTAGTGATAATTCTCAGCTTGCTATGTTTTCTTCTGTGACATTCTCATCACAAAGGACAACTGTAATTTGGGCAGGGCATTGTGGAGTAAATCTGTTTCATCAAAACTAAAAATGTCAAGCTCTGTGTACTCTGGCATCATAGCTTGGACTCATTCACCTGCAGAAGCATACAACAGATATAGACTAACTTTTGGTTGTTAAGGACACACTGTTGAAATGTGGAATTATTGAAACCACCCATTTTAGCATTTGAAGTCGTCTAGTCCAAATTGAAAAGCAGATTTTTCTGCCTTCTCTTTTATTTATGACATTGATACTGGAATAGAATTCAACTGCACCTGACAAAACTAAAGAATTTTTATTCCTGAGTAGGATGTTTTGCACTCTGGATACATTTTACATTCTTACTTTTGCATGTCAAATGGGCAGTTTGTGTGATTTTGTCCTTATTCTTCAGCTACATGGGTAGTGTGTTAAGAGGAACTTCAAAATATTTTGTTATATCTTGTCTTTTTCAACTTTATGGATTGTTCTCAGTGTTTTGTTGGTGGAAACTTCCTTTTGCTTTTATTTGAATCCTATTGTACAGCAAAGCAAGATAGTCAATTACTTTAGACTGTATGACAGCTGCAGTACTGATGCATTTTACTGACAGATGTAAATGAATTCCCAATGTTGGCACTATGATAACAAGGGAATGAGTGGGAGAAAGGAAGGGATGGCAAATGCTGAAAATATACTCTATCAGTAAAAGGGTGTTGATGCAAGGTTGTTATAGCATGGAGCCTTAGTGTTTATTTATCTTAATAGTCTGTATTTGCATAAAATATAAGAGAAAATGAAAATCATACTTATCAAGAGTCTATATGAGGAAAATAGGTTCAAGTTATTATAAAAGTACTGGTAATTTTGACTTAACATTATTGTATTATATGGAAAATCTTATATACTGTGCTGGACCTGTTGATGACTTTCAGTTAACACAGTTTGACTTAATGAAATTTTACAGTATTCAGCTTTGTTTACAATTTTAAATTTTTTCAATAACTTTCTCTCTAAATAGGAAGCTATCTATATTATCAAAAGGATTCAAAGCTTTATTATTTTAAAAAATAAATGTAATCTTTTTTGTAATTAGTTTTAATATTAATATACTTGATTGAAGTTAAATGTAAAAACATTTTACAAATTATTGTAGTAAAATTTGAATTTTTTTTTTTAGATATAAGAAATTCACTTAGAAATTCACAGGCAGATACTGATCCAGAATATACCTGGTATAGAATAAGTGTAAGTATTAAAGAACTTATTAAATTCTTATTAATTACTTAAAAAAATGAATTAAAGTAAGTATATCAATATCCCAATAACCTGATGTATTAATAATCAACCAACCAACAGCCAAATTAATCAGGCAGAAATTAGCCTATAAATGTTAATTTAGAAATTACATGATAAGAACAACTAGAATTAGACATTAGGTGCTATCACTTAACTGAAGTAGAAACTATAATTTAATTTTAGATTTAGAAATTTAGAATAGTCTGGAAGAAAAGAATCTGCCCAGAGCAGGAGTCAAACCTGCAACTTCTGCTTACCATGTAGTGCACTGACCAATTATGCTACCTGGACCTCTGAGTGATTCCTCCCTTCAGACATATTTAAACTCTAGTTGTTCTTATCGTGTAATTTCTAAAGTAATATTTGTAGGCTAATTTTTGCCTGATTAATTTGGCTGTTGGTTGACTGAATTAAAGTAAATTGATTATCTTCAAAATCTTACAAATTACTATATTTATTTGAATGTAAGACACTTTTTTCAGGTTTTATTATCTGAAAATAGGATGCGTTTTAGATTTGATGTAATACATCATAATTAGTGATCACTAGTGCAGTACTTAATTAATTAGTATTTAAAGAAATTTCTTATAAAATGGACACTTTGATAAATTTAGATATCAAAATATTGGCCCTCATCACTGACCATTTTAAGTAACATAGAAATGATTAAGCACAAGTCAGCATTTAACAGACTGAATAAAATATGGGCTAATAGAAAGCTTGCAAAAGAAGTTAAAATCAAACTTTATAACTCAATTAGTGTTCCATCCGTAACACTATTCCTCTGTAGTTTGGATTCTGAACAAACAGGAAGAAAAGAGATTGGCTTCATTTGCAATGAAATGCCTATGACATATAAATGGAATTAAATGGACTGAACTGAAGACTAAGGATAGAGTTAGAGGGAACTTGAACTTCAATGAGTTCATCATGAGAAGAATAATCAAGAAGCCAGAGAGGCTACCTAACAGAACCCTCTATGCAAGAATAGAGGGTAGGAGACTGAGAAGTTGGAAAGAATTAATCAGGAATACCTTACAATTTAGGACCTACCATCAGCTTATATCTCAAGCTAGAGACTGCAAAATAAGGAGAAAAAGAGTGAAGTCATGGAGGACTCAACCCATCACTGATGAAAGAGTGTGATGTTGATAAACCCATAAAGGGTCATTTCATAGTAAATTGTTATGCGTATCTCACACAACATGCTCTATACTTTTAGAAAATAGCTTTTATTAATTTAATTTACCAGTGGCCAAGTGGATAAAATCACTGAATACTTGTAGTTAGATATGGGATGGATTACACCTGGAAAGTAAACACTTATGGTATCACTTCAAAGTGCCATGCTTATCTTTATCAGAGAAACTCCTAAGAAAAAATTTGACTTTCATTGCAGGTGCCATCATAATTTTTACTCTGCACAATATTTTTTTATTTCTCAGATGTTTTACTTTGGATAGCAATTTCTTTTTTACTAATTAATTTTTTTCACTGCCCTTGTATTGGTTTGAAATTATTTATAATTATTTATTATAGTTTTGATAACATAATTTGGTCTTAAAACAATCGATAGTAAAACCAAGATCAGAATCTAACTGCAACAAACTAAAAGAGGAAGAGAAAACTGCGAAATGTAATTATTAGGATTGTTTTACCTTATTAGCTAATTTAAGTTCTTGGAGCACAATTGTACCTGTTGGTTCAAGATGATTGATGTTTTTCCAAATTTCATATTTTAAAATTCTACTATATGTTTCAGTTTACGTCAGCCATTAGTAGAAAATTAACTATTTCTGTTATAGCTGGAACAGGAGAAACTATTTTATGGATCAATTTATTATATCATTTATTAAATCATTATTTTTTGCATTTTATTGTATTTAATTTTTTCCTTGAAAATAATTAAATTTAAATCAATTTTTCATAAATAACTAATTAAAATGGAATTTTTTTGTTTGTTTGTTTGTTTTTAAGATATAGTGTGTTTCTTCAAATACTCTAAAGTTTTTCCAAAGTAAATTCATTACATCCATTTTTCGATTTTTGCCATCAATTTTACAACAAATTTTATAGAGAAATCTATACTAATATTATAGAGGTAAAGTTGTTACGTTTGGATGTAGGAGTTGATCTCCGAAACTACTCATCCGATTTCAAAAATTCTTTCATCAATATTTAGAATGGAACTTCAGGGTGGACATAGGCTGTATATTATTCCGTTAAACATTCATATAAATTAAAAGATATCATCTAGAATTAAGGCTTTTATGTTCAACAGATGGCGATAACACTGCGAGTACGACGACCTAAGTTTGCTTTTCTGTGAGGATGAAATAAAGCAGATCATCATCTATCTATCTATATAAATAAAAATGTAACGTTCTTTTGTTCCTACCGATTCCTTTGAAATTTTGACACAATGTTCCATTAGAATACACACGTGTTTTTATATAATAAACATGTTGAAATTCCCCCCACTGGGGGAGATGGACAGGATTAAGGCTTACCGTGAAGAACTCTGCTTCTATTTATACTATTTTAGATGCAGTTTTTTGCGTTTTTGATTGTGTTTTAATAGGGTACGTCAACAGAGTGTACACTAAAAAGGGATTTTTTGAAAAATTCCCCTCCATGGGGGAAGTGTTATACATTTATAATAGATACATTTTGAGCCACAACAATGCGTGGCGGGGTCTGCTAGTTTTAGATTAAAATATTTGGGTACCCACTGATATCTTTCTTACAAAAGGAATCATAGTCTGACATTTTAAAAAAGGATAAGGTCAAAGTTGCACATTGCAAATTTGCTGGAGTTGGAGTCGAACTTTTTGTTTATAGACTCCATCACACTGATAGAAAATATTTAAAAGGTAAACTTAGGTCAATTTTGTTATTTTATTACAGTAAAATCATAATTACCTGGATGTAAATCTCAGGAAAGGTTGTGCAGAAAATATTGCATCAGTTATGCAATATTTCTTGAAAGAGGCACTAATTTAAATGGCACTGAGTATGATTGCATACAGGAAGGTGTGAACATTGAATTTAATATTGATTAGTGTAGTTTTAGTTTGCTGAAACTAAAACTACACATATATAACAACTAAAACTAATATTCAGGATGCAACTTAAAACAACAGTTAGTGTTGATTCAGAAGAGCTTAATGTTAATATGTATGACAAATGAAGAGGTTTCTGATTTTGATATCATTAGATATAGTGATATATAACTTACTTGCAATGAATACTGATTCTGTTAATGTAAATTTATCTAAAGAATTAATGGTGAAATATTTGACATTTTCAGTAGTATATTTTTAAAAATTATAAATACATTGGAAAGGCAGAACAATTTTCCTCTTATTCTAAACTCAAAAATAGACTTAAGCCAAGGACAAGCTGCATAAAATCAATGTAAAAGATGGAAGCAAAACAAAAAATATTTTCTGAAGTTTCTGCAGACTAAAATTTTCAATCAAAGCATTGTCAATAGAAATCTTTCACTCAAGACAGGTTCTATCTTGATTTTGTAAAACAATAAATATTCTTCACTGGCATGTAAGATTTAATTTAGCTATTAAAGATTATTTATTAAAGTTTACTAGTTGTTTGATATTAGACTTTTCTCAATTATGTTAACTATAGTTTATGTATTTATGTGTTGTTAGGACTATTGTACCCATGCTAATATCATTATATCAGGTAAAGAAATCATTACTATAATGTATATTTGGCATACTGAACTAGATGTAACAACCACTGTAGTATTTATGTTTAAATTTTGTTCTACTGTATTTCCCCAAAAATAAGACATCCTCTGAAAATATGACCTAGCAGAGGTTTAGCTGAATTTCTAAATATAAGGCCTCCCCCCGAAAGTAAGACCTAGCAAAGTTTTATTTACTTGTGACGGTCATCGACAGATGGTTGAAAGTGGCCGTTGGCTTTTTGAAAGTACAGCCACTGATTGGTCAGCAGACAATCACGGCATGATTTGCATAAGACTATGGCTTGGGAATCACAGATTTACATAACGTTACGGCTAGTGATCACTAATTGGTCGGCTGGGAATCACACCACATCACATTTGCATAGTGCTACAGTTCAGTAAGCACTAATTGGTCATCGAGCCTGATGTCGATGCTATAAAAAGGTTAAGTTGAAGTTAGAGTGGGAAGTCCACTCCAGCATGGGAACTTCGTAAATTCACTTTGGTTCGTGACTTTGGTTTTATTTAAGTTCAGTTTGACACGACCAGATATACGTCACTCTCATCTAAGTTCGACTTGGGAATTTGTTTGTTCAAAAATAAATGTGAATTCTTCTTCATGGAAAAATAAGACATCCCCTGAAAATAAGACCTAGCTCATCTTTCAGAGCAAAAATTAATATAAGACATTGTCTTATTTTCGGGGAAACACGGTAGTAAACTATTAAAATGTTACTGCACTCTCAATTATAAACTATCAGTAGATAATAAAATTATAAGAAAATCTTTTAAGTATTTGAAAACATTCAAATTAATATTATTCGTGTAATATTTTGTAAAATAGTTTCTTGCATATTTTTTTCTTCTAAAACTCAATGTTTATTTGCAGATTCCTCATGGAAAGAAAATGGGAAAAAATTTTGTATTGAAGTCTATAACATCATCTTGTAAAGTTCCATTTACACCGTATAATGTAAATATTTTTTAAAATTTAGAAAAATTATAAATAAATTTCATTATTTATTTTATTTTTTATAGTATGAAATACACAATGCAACTGCAGTATTTTATGTAACTGGATATCAAACAGCCAATGCAATAAAAGATGTTCATAAACGAATAACAACACCTGATGGATTTAAAGTAAGTTTTTAAAATGTTGAAAATGTCTATTTATCTGAATATTATATGCACTTTTTTCTGAAGTATGTGAAGAGAAAATTTTTACATTTTATAATCATAAGATAACTCTTGGAAATTCTAAGAGTTTACTACCGGTTGAGGTGAAATTTATTTCATTTAATGAAAAATATATATTTTTTTTTATAGTTATGTATGATATTTCCATAAAACTTTTACCTTTTGATTTAGGTTTCTGTATTTGTCTCAGTTTGCAGGTGTGCTTATATCATATATATTTTGTTATAATATAGTAATAGTATTTATATAACATAGAATAGTTTTATAATTGAATTTCTAATATCTCTAAGTCAGATCATCTGTTCAGGTACAGCTGATGAAAGGTCATATTAGGATGTCATTTATTTAGCAGTTTTAAATTTTAAGTTATTTTATACTTTATTGTTGTTGAGTTGCAATTTGAAAAGATTATAGACCTATAAATTCTCACTGTCATCTTTCTGTCCTTCCTTAAATATTGAGAATGGAGTTATTTAGATGAAAGCTGAGATCAGATGTGGAAAGATTAGGGGCAGGAGGCCGCAATTAACTATATATGAACTTTTTTATGCAAACTAGAAGTCACATTATGTCAGTTCAAAATTTTCCCCTGAAAGGAGTTAGATAGATGACCAGCATGTGACTCTATTGTTAAAGGAAAAGTATGATGTTAAGGAGCAAGTCACTACTAATTTGATGTGGAGAACAAATTTTAAATTAAATAAATAAAAAAATATATATAATTAAAAATTGCAGCTCAGCATTGTGACAATGTCACAGTAAATAGCGAAGTTGAGGCTGAAGTTTTAAATGCGAAAATGTGTACGTCAGACGTTCAGCGCCGCTTTCCTGTAAGACTAGAAGTTTGACAATGGTGTTTGGAATGTCGAGCATGATAGCACTGACTATCCAAACTTTTATAAAATTTTGAGAATTTGTGTCAAAAGTTCATAAAGCATTCATCTTTCCCATAAAATTCTTATGGGAAAGAGAAGATGAATGCTTTATGAACTTTTGAGATTTTTGAAAATTGTTTATATTTACCACAGATATATTTTATTTTTGAATACTGTAAAAAAAAAAAAGAAGAAGATTTTAAACTAAATATAAGTTAATCCAAAATTATGGAGTTACAAGACATTTTTGAAAGTTGAATAAGTGGTATTTGAAGAATAGAATTCTGATAGAGATAGTTGATAAGTTTAAATATCTGAGCATGGTTTTTGATTCATATGGTACTTTTTGTTTACATTATACAAATACATTATTTAGGTAAATAAGGATTTGATTGCTTTGTATGCTAAGATGAGAGTTAACTTAAAAGATTCTAACACTTGTTTCATTCAGTATGCTTGGATAAATGTTTGTTTGTGACACTAACATGATCGTTTGTTTTTGGATGAAATAGAGGTGATTCATTTCCACTTTCTGAATATATTTAAGCTTGATTGTCAGTCTTAAGTTGTGCATTTCAAGCAGAATTTAGGAGATCTCTACTGAAAGTTTCAATTTTTAATGTACAATACATAGAATATTACAGAATTCCCAGTCATTAGGATATCAACTATTGAAAAACTTTATTCAAAAGCACAGCTCTATGATAAGAATACTCTTCTGATTGGGTAACTATCAAATATTTCTGTATCAGCGAGTTTTAACCTTATGATAATTATAGAAGATAATGGAATTTATCAAGACTTCTAGTTAATTAAAAATTGGTGGTTGTATAAAATTGTAATCGATTTAGATTAGGAGAAAATACATATATTGATGTTTTACCCTTTATACCCAGGATGTTTCTTGTATGCTGATGAAACTCTCTCTATAATTTTATGAATTACCATATTCCTTTGAATTAGCACTGGGTCTCAAATAAGTGCACAGATACTAATTTAAAGAAAATTTACTCAGATTCAATGTAATTTACTCAGATTCAATGTAATAAGAAATTATAGCACTTTAGAAAGTTCTTTCAAAATTCAGATAAAAAAATTTTTTCTTGTACAGTAGAATTGTAGTTAACAGAAAAAATTATTATTGTTGCAATATTAAAATACTGAAGAAGAATGGCCACAAATGTCTACAGAGTTTGCAATGACTGTTTTTAATTTTCTTTTTACTTAATTTTTAAGTTCAAATTTGATATGATACATTGAGCAATTTTCACACTAAATTTTTGCAATTGAACATAAGATTTATAATTAAGTTTTATATGTTTGTGTTATGCAAAAAAATATTTATTTTGTAATATTAAATTTAGGTAAATGCTATATATTAATTTGAATATCTTCTTTTTTGTAATTATTTGAATATAGATATGTAGAAATTATATATTAATACTCTGATGCAGTAAATATTTTAAAATATTATTATTCAGAATTCTTAAACACTTTAAAGTACGCAACTATGTTAAATATATAGAATGCCATTTGTGAATGTTATTTTTTGTGTACAGACAATCTTTTTTTAACTTTTAAAGTTTTAAAATTAATTATGATGAGTATAAAAGTATTATTTCAACCTATTTTTAGTAACAGTATTTAATCTGAAAAAAAGAAAAATGCTTCTGAATATTATTTTAGTGGAATGTGCATCAGGGGATTAAAGAATATTATTTGTAACTTTTATATATCATTTTACAATATAAATGAAATATATGAAAATTAAGAATTTATGATTTACTTATCAACATTTCTTTGAATTAGATGTCTGTGAATGTAACGGAGTCACCTCCTCCTATTCCATCAATTGACGAAGGAATCTCAGAAAAAATAAAGGTAATTTAATTTTGATAACTTAATCTATTTATGCAAATTCTATATCCATGTTTAATTATTTTGGTATTAAACCAAATATCAATCAACAATAACAATTTTAGTTTTCCAATAATTCATGGATATTTATGCTCCTTCTATCATAATAAAATAATCAAAACATTTAAGTTTATTTTATGGAATTATATAGAAAATCAAGTCTGAAATTATAGTAATTAGATGATACAGCCAGGTTAACTATTGGGCTAGAACTTGGCTAATAAATATTCAATTTCTAACCTGATAATTAACTCAGCTGTATTATTTGATGATTATTTTGTGAAAATGAATTTTTTTGAGACTTGGAATTCAGTTTTTCACATATAACTTTTTAGTTACAAATTACATTTTGTTATTATACAATTGTTTATAACTTATTTGCTTGACAAAATTTAAAGTTTACATATGTACTGTACTTTAACTAATTTATATATATATATAGAAAATTGTATGATAAGATAAGAATATTATCATTAAATAACAAATATTATGCTATGATTTATATCTGGATACTTGCTAGTATGCAAATGATCTTTGTTTATCAAAAAATGAATAGAAAGTGCTAAAATTTTCAGCCTGTATTACAGTTTATAACTTTCACATACTTTAGAATATCCTCCATTAATTTTTTTGTCTGAAAATGTATGCAATATGTATTTTTTGATATTTGTTCATGAAAACAGTCATAAGTTAAATGTTATATTTTAAGAAATGTTTTTTATTTGATGATCCAATTCATTCCAAAGACTCAATTGGATTAAAGCTAATCTCTGAGCTGACTATAATCTGTCTATGGAAAGAATGAACTTAAGAGTAACGTTGTGATGTTTCAGTTAAACCAATCAGCACAATCTCTAATAATGTCAGCACTTTTCACTTAATATGTCAGGCAATATATGAATTTTATTTTATTTTCTCTTATTGTATGACAGAATAACTTTTCTGTTAATTATGTTAATATTTTTTATCATTTGTTAACTGTAAAGAATCATGTGTTTACCTACTACTATAGTGAACTTCCTCATATTCAAATACCAGAACATGAAGCTTCCATAACATTGTTTATAATGGTGGTGATATGTTTAACAAATGAGGAAGAAACCAGAAATGACTTGCCACAAGTAAGCAATCAGTGGCTGATTCTCATTGGTTAATACCCAAGTTGATTCTTTCCATAGACAGACTATACTGTGCTTTCTAGTTAATCTTATTCTTAAGTCAGAGAGTCGATTGCAGATAGTAAAAGCAATATGACACAAAATATTATTTTATTGATAATAAGTTGGGGACTTCCTAATATAGTTATATTACGAAGTCCCCAACTGAAAATATTATTGTCAGATTGTGCAGATAAAACTTTTCTTTCTTTGTTTATGCAAAACAAATAATCAAAACCAGATTATGAAAAATGGTTTGAAATCATTTGTACTGCATTCATATAACTTAACTGTTAGGGTGATATAATCCAGCAAATAATGCTATCTGCACATTGCTTCATCCAGGCATGCTTGTCAGAATATAAATGAGAAATCATTCAACAGTGCAGCTTTTTTATTTTTTTTGGCCATAGACAGATACTCCTTATAGTAAGCTAGCTGGTACTTGACAATGGCTAGGAAAATGAATTATTTTGACTACATGTCTGGGTGAATTATGCAATTTTATGTATTGCACTGATGCTAAACGAGTACAGTATACTCCCAATTATTGAAGTTAATCATCAGTAATGGAGGCATAGATAATCTGCATGTTTTAGTAAAAGCTAATTGATTTTTCTTTTATTTAGTTTTTAATTTCACATTAAATTTAACATAATAGTTTATATATTATGAATAAACTATTATGTTAAATTTTGAGAATGATAATTAATTAATAAGCTTTAGATGTGATCAGAGTTGAATAAAACTTTGTAAAGAGAAAATTCAAAAAAATTTATTGAACTAGCTCCTTGCAGTTCACTATGAATTTCTTGTATTATTAACCGAGAATGAAGGTTGTCAGCTAGATATCATCAATAATTTTGTGATATTAATGATTTATTGGTAAGGAAATGGTTCAAAATATTTTCTTCAAACAATTTTACAGCTTATTAAAAAAATATATATAATAAACACATAAGTGAAGCTTTGTTGTTCAAGAATAAACTGCACTTACTGTATTTGTTAGGCTATTTAATTAATGCCTTGACATTCTGGAAATTGTTCTAATACTCAATATATCATTTTAAATAGCAAGAGTTAACTATGTAGATTTTTTAAATTTTAATGCTAATACAGTGTTTGTATTCCTGGCATAAATTTTTATTGTGACATATGCATGCACAGATAATTGAGAGTATACTGTATTATAATGGATATTAGACTAAGGATAGTTAAAACAATGATGTTTCTAATGTATTATCTATTATCTTTTCACATTAGAAATCCATTAATTATTTTTATCAAAATATCTTGCATTTTTGTCCATTGTAGACACTCAAGGAGATAGTATTATCATATGTATGATCATGATCTGATACACAGTTCTAAGTAAAATATAACAATTGATAAAGATATTAATTAGAAGATAGCTTGTAAGTAGAATGCAACTATAACATTGATGAGGTTTATTGTTGTTTGTAGAATTTGTTAATGCAAACATAATGATAATAAAAAAATAACAAATACATAACAGATGAAATAGGATGAAAATTAGATTTTATCAATACTTATTGTAATTTTAATATAAATTTTTAAATTATGCAGTTTATGATAATGCTGTTTATGAATAAAAATAAGTTATGAATCATGATGATGATGATTGCTTCACTGCTTTCAATATTATACAAATGACTTTTTTTTTTTTTTTTACCAGACTGTAATGAGTAAACATTATGATTCTATGATCCACAAACTTGATTTAAGTACTTTTCATTCAGATAATGGTAAGTTACATTCTTATAGTTATATATTTATATATAGTTATAGAAAAATAATGTTTCATAATTATATTTTATATGAATTTGAATGAAGATAAAAGTTTTATTTGAAATTTTAAAAATAAAATATTTTTTAGCAGTTTTTTTTAAATGAAATTATAGTTATTGGAAATTTTTTGCTGATGAAATAACTACAAATAGTTTTTTGCCTTTGTTATGAATTTAAAATCCCAATTACTAATTTGAACATTACATTTAAAAAATACTATTATTTGATTTAATTTTTACATTTTGAAAATGTTTATCTTGAGTTATTTTTAATTGTATAATCTTAGACTCAAGATTCAAATTCTCTCACTTCAGAAAGAAGTAGCTTAATTAATCATGTATTGAACTTTCTTTGGTTCAAACACGATATAGTGCAATCACTTGACCACTTGGCATTTTTCATCATTAACTTTTATTCAGTTGATATGCATATAAGTTATTTGTACACATTTTGGGCTTTGGGTCGAGTGATTGCACTATATTGTGTTTGAACAAAGGAAAAAATACTGATGCAGTTTCACGAATGTTAATCATGTATTGAAATTATTTGTAATTATTATGGAATTTCAATAGTTCATAGTATCTAAAGTTTATTGATCAGATTATGAACATGTTTAATAACACATAAATAGTAACAGGTATGGGAAAAATTGTCTTTTACAGCAAATATAGTAGAAAGTTTTTAGTTACAACCTTGGGCACTTAATAAATTTAGTAAATTTCTAAATGGATGTTTTTAGTAGCATGTGCAATATCCAATTTGTTATTGATTTCTTACCAACTGTTTTGCTGCATACCTTGGCAAACTGAAGCCACTATCTCCACTATCCAATGTTTCAACTCTGTAATATCAGTACAAATGTACCTTGCTTTAGAATGCTTTGTTAATGCTGTGTTTTTCAATTATATTTACATTTATAATTTTTAGCCCTTAACTGGATTTTATGGATTTTTATTTATTGTGTTTACTTTTGCAACTTTTTTTGATCTAGCACTTTGTGCATTTAATAAATGATAGTGTAAATGTGTTTTTAGACTTTTATATATACTGGTAAGTGAAATAGGCCATGATTTACTTTAAGACAACATTTTATGATAGTAATCTGTAATCTAATTTATTGTATTAGCTAGGTATATCTGTAACCTTTTTTGCATATATTTTGTTCTTTACATAGCCGCTCAGAAAAATCCAAAAGCATGATATCTAGGGCATGGTGAAACCATGGAATAAAGCAGTGTTTCTCAATGGGCGATATCACCCCATGTGGGTGTTTTTCCATATTGGGACACCATTAATAACAATTTATACTTTGGAGGCAAAAAACAATTTTCTGGGCGATATAGTAAAACATTATATTAAGAATAATTAGATATTTTATTCATTATATCGTAAAATAATTAAACAAATAACATTACACTAGTGACTAGTCTATTCAATGCAATATGAATTTGATGTCAGCCTCGGCTCTTGGCATCATAATTTTGAAGCTTGCAGCGGGGATTCACAGCAAATAATGCTTAATTTTAATTTTGTTAATTATATCAAAATCTGATACGTATTCTGAGTAAATAAAAGTTTATTTGATAATTATATATAGTTTGTAAAAAATTAAACTAATAAACCCAACAAAATTGTTTTCAAAGTAAAGGGCCAATATTATGTAACAGGTTTATTTCATTAGAGGTTGAGAAACACTAGAATAAAACAATTGCATCATATCTTTAGTATTTGTGTATTTCATCTGTTGGAAAAATACATCAGGTTACATTTTATTCATCTGAAGTATACCAAACAATTCCAATATAGCCATGTACTAGTCAGCTTTTGTTGTTTTTTCTTGAAAGAAAAATTGCTTCAAAATTTTGTCACAGTATAAATGAAAACTTTTGAAGTTGCTGTTTTCAATGCAAAAATCTTCTTGCGACATCTGTCCTGGTTAACTTTTTATTAATTGTCTTAATTTGATCAATAGATGACATTCCACATATTAATTTCATATTTCTATATAATTTTGATTAGTCTTATTATTTGGCATTTCCTTTGTTCTTTAAGCCTATATGTTTTTGATATTTTACAAGTACTTTATCAATGACACTTTATAGTACCATTGATAAATGGCCATTAGCATGATAGCATCAATTAGTCTTAGGTCTTTCTTACACTTTTTATTTTTCTCAGACAGTGTTGACATTGTAGCAGTTCTGTTTAAGACTATAGTGCATTAATTAATACCAACCCAGAAAGTATAAATCTAAACTTTATTTTCATATTACATTAATTTTCAAAATTACTTCTGACAGAATGAATAAAATAACTCATACAATTATTTGAGCACACCAAATTTTTTCATATTTAGTAAACTATTTTCAGAACAACTTAATCACAATGAAATTATAAATTTCAAAGAGTAATTTTAATCAAAACTTGAAATATACAAACATTCTTATAAAGAACTAAGTTATGTATAGAAAGATTTTAAATTAAATATACAGTAGGCCCTCAATTTAATGGACTGGATTTAACAGACAAAAAATTTTTGTTTTTGTTCTGCAGGAAAAATTTAGAATTGTTTGTTTTATTCATGAATTGAGAACAGTTGGGTCAGTGAATCAGCATTAGTTACGTTGCATAGTTTTGATATATTTAATTAAAATAAAGTGTGGTTTCTGTCATAAATTTATTTTTATATATTAATTAACACATATTTTAATGGTATATATAAATTACTCCATGTACAGAACATTATAATAGCATTTTAATATGTCCTATACATAGTAAATTTGTTATTAATTATTTTGAAATAGTGGATGCCCCTTTCCTAATTAGTGAGGCAATTCAAGGCATATTATATATATTTATATTAAGATATACACAAAATTTTGAATGATATAGACAGGTCTAAAAAAATAAATATTAATTATTACAAATAGAAAATATAAAAATATTTAATAACATTTCAAGTATCCAGAATTTTATATTTTGATAAGAAATTTAAAAAATTAGATTGCCGAGTGAAGATATGAAAAATTTTCTGTATATGGTTAAATTTAAGAAGAAAGGAATTTTTAAATTAATTATATTTGATAGAAATGGGACGAAAATGAATTGTTTCTCTGGCTGTGAAAAATTATTGTCGATCATACAAATCAATTTTAATTTGATTACTGATCTTATCTGACAATTATTTGCATAAATTAAATTTGAGTTATTTATTTTTTAAATCATGATTAATTGTTTGTTTGTTTTTTTATTATCATTTTAATTTAATGAAAATTTATTAATATTTGTGATTTTTCACTGTAAAAAATTTAAAACTTTTAAAAATTTATGTACAATATTACTTTTCTTAAATAAATATAAAATATGTTTATTCTTAATATAGTTGTTATTAATAGGAACAAGACAATAAACATCTGGTAGGAAATTAGCAGTTACATCAAACATTTCCTTTGTTTATATTAGACATAAGGTTTACATGATGATTATTTCCATAATGTATTTATTTTAATTTTAGTTGTAGCTAATTTTTGAAAACTATTATGAACAATTTGACAAAATTATTAGAAATATTCATTAAAACATGTTATTTTGTGTTATTAATTTGAAAATAAAGAGCTTCAGCAGACCAATTTAGAGTTGATAGTGTTGATTAAATTTCACATTTATGCAGCTGATTTATTATAAAAATATTTTAAAAAATCATACTATAGTTGCAAACCTTTTTAAATTTTTAATCACTGGATAATTAGTTAAACTTAATCTCTAATGATTCTTTAATAATTTTTAAAATAATAAAAACCTTCATTCTCAGAAGTATATATCTGATACAGACTAGCAGAAGTTTCTAATTTGATGGTGAATTAGTATCTTTGTCTCTGAATATATGCTGATTCTGCCTTACCATAATTTGTATTTGTTTTGCTCTTCACAGATTTTTTAGTTGGGTGTAGTTTTTGGAAGGTTTTTATATCCTCTAATTGGATTGTTGTTTTTTTAAAACCAGTTTGTTATCTATAAAAAAAATATTTTGTATCATTCATGAAACAAAATATTGTGCTTGAAATTCAAGACATTTTGATAACTAACTTTGTCAAGTTACTGGCCTCTTTAGATAAACAGAATTTTATAAATCACCTTTGAATAAATAAGAAAATGATTTATTAAATATAAATTCCATATTTTTTTCAACTAATTTTATAAAAATTTTATTGTTTATTGAAGTTGCATTACAGTTGTTCTTTTAACATGTATTAGTTAAATTATTAACATTAAAAAGAAAAATATACAACTTGTTTTCTTAATAATAATAATAATAATAATTGAATTGCTTTGTTTTATAAGATGTAAAACAGAGGAAGAACATAAAATTCTCAATTATATGAGGCAGATTATATAAATTGAGTTGAGTAATTCTTGAGATTTATAACTGATGAATAAAAGCAGTTGGAATAACAATAAACATTATAATGAACATATTAAATCTGCTATAAAAATGACAACTCTTTTAGATGTAAATGTAGATTGATTTTAAAATAGTCATAAAATATTTAATAAATTTTCAAAAGATATAATCCTTCTACTCCAGTTTTCATATTGTAAGTCCAATAATATATCAGTAAATTTATAACAAGCAAAGAAGAAATGAACAATATAATACCACATGGTAAGAAAGCAATTTTTAAATTTGACAAAATAGTACAATATTAACAAATGTTATATAAAATGGCATCTGATATATCTGCATTCATCAAAAGAAAGCTATAAATAAAACATGATAGTTGGAAAGTTTAAGTCTGTACGAAGGTGATTCTCTGTCTGGAAATATCCTTTTTTATTTATAGGAGCTGGCTACAGATTTTCAAATGTAAAATATGTCAATGTTAAAATAATACTTCTGCAAATTGATGGGTATTTAAAACAGACTCAATTAATAATTTGTTTTTGTTTTGTACTTTATGATTAAGTTTATTTGTTGGTCATCAGTAGCTTATGTATATAAAAATGAAGCCACCTTATTTAAAAATTGATTATATGGTTTGACTAATTCGAGTATTGTTTCGACTCTTACAGATTTATGTCAAGAAGGAATTTATGTTCCTATTTCAAGAAGAAATGTCATGTCTTGTGTTGTTCAAATTATAAAAGAGCACATCCCATTGGTATGTTGTTAATATGCATTATTAATTACAGATTGTTGTTATGTATAAATGAAAATATTTTTTAATTAATTACACATTAAATATACATTAAAAATTGTATATTTTTATTATGTTTCAATTTAGATACAACAGCTCGATTTATCTAAAAATAGGCTGAATAATTTGGAGGATTTAGCTCCTCTTGTGACAGTATGCAAAAATCTGAAAATACTAATATTAAAAAACAATAAGGTAATTTTAATACTGGATTTGATTATTTTGTTTATTATAAATGTAATTGTAAATTGTGTTTTAAAATTATTTTTGATGATGCAGCTGAAGAGAATGGCCGTACTTGATGCATTGAAGGGATTGGATTTAGTTGAGCTCACATTGGACGGTAATCCTTTGTGTGACAATTATAAGGACCAATCAACTTATATCAGGTAAGATATTTATGACCATTTAATGAAACTGGAAGAAGAAGCAGCTTCTACTCCTGAATGGTCTGTATGTGTAGAAGCAAGTGCTGTCCATTGGAAACAACAGTAATATATATATTAAAATAAAACTTAACATCTGAAAATATACACTTAAAATATGACATAACCATACATGGCAATATTTGCAGATAATTTAATTAATAATTTTATATTAAATATGTCAAAAGTAAGGCATCAGTATCGAAATGGAAGAGAAAAAAAATAGTGAAGATTTAGAAGCACTTACAATAAATCAGCTTTATTTCTTGAAGAAATAATATCCTCTAGTTCATAAATGATTGTACAAAATATTGTATTTTATTAAGAATGTATGATTTGCCATCGAAAAGAATTGCTGGAAAAAGTTCTCTTATCTGTACTGTTAGCCAAAGACGGTGGCCGAGCTCTTGGAGTCGCTCACTATCAGGCACAGGCAGGAAGAGATTTAAAATAGGATGAAAATCTTGTTCCAGCTCAAACTAGATGTGGCAAAATCAGATAGATCATGGAATGTAACATGCAAAAAACAGAGGATATAAGATCATTAGAATGAGAAGACAATTCTGAAATGCTGAATATGTGCAAAATGTGCTTCTGCATTTGAAGAAAAGATAGATACATGCCAATACTTTTGAAAATTTTAATATATTTTTTTATGAATTTGTTTTTAAATACAAAATATCTTTCAAAAATATTGCCAGTGTGTTATGTATTTACAAAAATTTAAGATTTAAAAGTGATGATGATGATAATGATGATAAATGATTTTGTAATAATTTATTTTACAATTTTTTTATAAACTTGATACAAATAATATTTTTATTATGAATATATTTCAGTGCAGTAAGAGAGAAATTTCCAAAAATAATTAAGTTGGTAAGTATAGTTTAATATTGATAAAATTAATTTATTTTGTTTTTTATGTATTTTGTTATTGATGATGCTATATATATATATATATTTAGGATGGACAAGATTTGCCTGCTCCTATTTTATTTTCATTAGAAACTCATGAAGTTTTACCATCATCTAAGGTAAATATTTTCATATTGCATATTTTAATTACATAAGATTTGAAGCTAGCAGCTACAGTATTCATTAAGAACTGCTTTGTTGTAATTGCAAAGATGAAGAAAAATTTATTTACCTTTTAATAAAATTACTTCTTAATTTTTGTAACATGAATGTATTCTAAATATTAAATATTAGTTTCTGTTTAGTACTTAAAAGATTTTCAAAATATCATGAAATGTTATATTTTTTATTGAAGTGTGAATATCAAATTATTATAATTTTGAAGTGAATCAAAGAATAAAATAATAATATTTACACAAGAGCATATCTTAGACTTTTAATTTTAAACTCTTTCCATCCTAAAGACACTAAGAGAGGGGAATTTTAATCATATTGATCATGAGTTTGGCGGGGCTAGCAGTTGGTCAACTGGGATGGGGCACAACATATCTGGGACAGTCTACCCGTGAAAAATTTTTCAGGTTTTTGCCCACTTGGATTTGTTTCTAGATCTTCTGGAACTGTAGGCTGAGGCTGATGCCTTACCCTTTTTGACATTTGGCCCTTCAACCCTTAACACAGCCTAAATTATGGAAACAAAGTATAAAATAATGAAAAGTTTTACTAAGAATTTTTAATAAATCATCAATTTGTCTAAGTTAGTGATCTGAATAATTCTATTTTTATACATTATTTTCAAAAGAAAAGTGGAAATATTAATATGTGGCATTGGTTTAATTGTTACTTGTATCTAATGAAATGTGATTTCATGGTTGTTTTTTAGAACTTGTAATATTTTGATATTTTAAATAATCAATTTCATTAATGTAAAATTATTGTTCCTATGAATGTGATTAAACAAATACCATAACTTATTTTAGCAATATTAATTTTTCTTTACCACATTCTTCTTTGTAATGCTCTTATGAAAAGCATTTGAGAACAATCATATCTTAATATTTCACCCTTTCATATTATTTTGATTTATTTTATAAGTGTGGAGTAAAAATAAAAAGTAATCTGTAATATCAGAAGAATTTTCCTTCATTAATATGTGAAGGAAATGCTTCTGTTAAAAAAATATATTATTTTTTTAACAGAAATAAAGTAATATATTTATTGATGTTTTAGATTATTATTTAATATTAGTCTTTTTACTTCATTTAGGAAAGCTCATTCCCATCTGAAGATGTTAAGAATATTGTTGTGCAATTTTTAGAACAGTAAGTTGTTTTAAAATGCTTATTTTACAGTACACACACATTTTTGTTTTACATAAAAAGTATGTTTACATATCATATTTGTATGAATAAATAGATTTTCACTACTTTGTAAATTATTTATAAGAATATAAGTGAGAAAAATATATGATTATTCATTTTATATTGATCAATGGATACATATTCTATGTGATTTATAATAATAATAGTAATAATTACTTCTTAACTTAAAAATTTACTTGTTGAATAATCATAGTACCATGTTAGAGAATTAGACTTTTTTCATTACCATAAATTTGGGCAGATAACCTGTGGGTTGCGTGTGTGTGTGTGTGAAAGATAATAATTTAAACGGAAGTATGCCAGCAGTTTTAAATTCCAGTTGCAAGTTAAAGTTGATTCACACCGGCTGGTGACAGACAACTGACCCACTAGACTGACAATTACGTATTCATGTGTGTGCAAAAAATGACACCAAGTATTTAACTATATTCTCCATTGTTTTTACATTCCTGGGCTATTTCAATGGATTAAGATTTAAGTTTTTAATAAATATTCGCAATTAAGATACAGGTTAATTTTCAATCTAATACAAAATATGAGAAACCAAAAAGAATTAAATTTTGCAAAATGAAAAATATTAAAACAAGCAATACTTGTGACAAAATCAAATTTGAAATGTTATGACATTTGGAACCAAAAGTAAACAGAAAATAATTTTACTATCGACAATAAAATTATTTTTAATTTTTTTCTGGGTTTATTTTATTACTATTATTATTACTGTACAAAGGAAATTAGTCATAAAATGAAATTATGGAGCTGGCCAATGAATGCAGGGGTGAATTTTTCAGTAGTTCCTTCCCTGTTAAAGCTAGGAACTGTATCATACACAAGACATCTTGAAATATGTGTTAGCAGAAAACAATACACAAGCACTCACTTGTGTATGTATGCAGTCACACTAAGTTAGTGTGTTTGTTAATATGTGTTTGGATTGAAAGTTATTTAATAATAGATAGTTTAATAACATAGCCTACCTTTAAAAAATATTTTATATTAATTATTACTAGTTTGCCAAGGCCCACCAGTGGCCAAGCGGTTCCGTTCCCTGAACACTGGGAGTTTGGTCATGGGTTTGCAGCTCACTAGGAGGGACTGGCCATGTGGAGTTTTCTGGGTTTTTTCCATGTCTGTAATGCCTGAATAGGGGTCAGTTACCCTTAAAAAGATCTCCCGGAAGGCATCCCCCTAGACAGATTCCCCAATTTGCTATAACTTAATAAAACAACTAGTTTGCCAAACTAGTCCAAATAATCTGGGAATTAATGTGATTATTATAGAATATTTGGGCTTGGTTGTTTATAAACAATATTTTAATGCTTAAGATGTCAACTTCGAAACTGCATACTGTTAATTATCTTGCTTTCAATAAATAATTATAGAGAATTCTGCTGAATTTATGTTTTTGAAATTTAAGGTATCTAAAATTATTTTGTAATTTTAACAAATAAATTTTTCTATAGTTTTGAGTAAAAATAATGGTCAAAAATAGAGCATATAGTGAAACACAATAATTAATATGATAACTTATCATTATTGATTAATAATAATGGTGATAATGATTGTATTTTTATCTCTTCTTTTTAATCTATCGTATTTCTAGTTTTAATAGCCAAAGTAATCCATAAATTTTTGTTTATCTAAGTTTTAATTGTCTATTGTTCTGAATACAATATACTACTAATGATACAAGTCATTATAGCAGTTTCAAATATATGTTTTCCTGTGAGAGTATAAATGTTCTATATTTAATTTTCAAATCAGTTACTCTTTTTTTCTAAAAAATTATATATCCAATATATCTGTTTTTTTTCCTCCCATTACTTTTAATTTCCTTTTATCAATATCAAGCAATATAATAACAGTTGTATGGAAACAGCATTCTTTAATAAAAATTAAAATTTGCATCTTAACATTCTTTGTATATGGATACTTTATTAGTTTATATATATATATATAGAGGAGAAGGGGGGATTTTAAATTAGGAGTAGAAATATGCACTACAGATTCCCTGATTTTTTTTATATCCCTGCAAAACTTGACAAAGAGAGTATTTTACTCATTGTTGGCCTGACCCCCCTCCGATATCTTTATATACATGAATGCCAAAGGTATCTGTAGAATTAGATGGAAAGTATGTTAGTTTGTTAGAATATTTTAAAATTTTTATTTTAATGAGAAAAAATGGTAAGAAATGTTATTATTTAAGAAATCCTTTAGAAAATTTATCATATACTGCTTTGAAATTTTGTATTTTGTCAAATGTAATTAATAGTAATGCTATATATTTATTTCTTTTACACGAATCATAAATATTACAAGTGTAAGAATCAATAATATATTTTTAAATTAATTAAATTCTCATAAATTAATCCAGTAAATTTTTAATTTTTCTTTTTTTACAGGTACTATACAATATATGACTCTAGTGATAGACAACCTTTACTGGAAGCATATCATGATCAGGTAAAATAATTGTATAATTGTGTGTGTGTGTATTATACGTAGTTTTGTTTATTCGAAATTAAAATATAACTTTGTTCATTTATTTATTTAGGCAATGTTTTCTATGTCCGTAGTAAGAAATGCTCAGAGGTAAATTATTTTCAGTTCTTTTCTGTATAAAATATTTTTAAAAAGTTTGTTTTTTAATTATTATTTTGACTTGTTTTTCTTTTAGTCCTAGAGATGGAGGAAAGCTGCAAGATTATATTTCTGATAGCAGAAACCTTATGAGAGTACTCGATCCAAGTAAGAAATTTTTAATTATAAATTTGCACTTATTAATCAATGTTGTTTAACGTTTCTATTTTATTCGTAGATCTCAGACATAAATTGTTAAGACAAGGAAAATTGAGTATAGTGTCCGCATTGTCAGAAATGCCTAAAACTCAGCACGATCCTAATTCGTTTACCGTTGACGTTTCTTATGTATCTGTAAGTACACTTGAATTCTTAATAAATTTTTCATTTTAATATTTTTTGATGTAAGTAATTCTTATAATTTTTATTGCAGCAAGCATTAATGTGTTTCACAGTTACTGGTGTTTTTAAAGAAGGTGTGTATATTTTGAATAAAAAACATTTTTTTTATTAACAGTAAAAGTTTATAAATAAATAAAATATGTTTACTAGAAATTTATTATTGAAATTTTAATTTGTTTTAGTGAATTCTAAGATAAACAACGTTCCCTTACGAACGTTTAGTCGAACGTTTGTAGTCATTCCTCAGGGACAAGGGTAAGCCCGTTTAACGTTTACAAAAATTATGCATTATGTATAATCCTTGCAGACATTTAACTGTTATCAAATTTTCTGTAATTATTTCAGATTTTCTATAATTAACGAAATGCTATATATTACAAATGCCACTGCTGGACAGAATAAGGTACACTGTTTTATTGTTACATTTTAAATAAACATTAATTTTTAAAAATAGTATTTGAAGCAATTACAATTTCTTTTTTCTTATTTTAAAAATTTCTGTGTATCTTTCTTGTCTTTTTAGGCATATAAAATGGTTGCGCCGACTCCGACGCCGAGTCCCGCGCCCAGTAACGAAAGAACTGCGGAAGAACAACAACAGATGGTTATAGAATTCTCTAAACAGACCGGAATGAACTTTGATTTCTCTGCCAAGTATGAAACTTTGATTGATGAGAATCTAAAAAAAGAAAAGAAAAAAAGAAAAAGCCTTTCTTTAACTATATATTGTTGTTTCTGTTTTTCAGATGTTTGGACGAAAATGATTGGGATTTTCAAAAGGCGGCAACTGTATTCCAGACTCTAAATGTAAGTATAGAAAATATGCTTTTAAATACAAATTTGGAAATTCTTTTTGTCTAATTCTAGAAAATAATTTGGGTCATTTTAATTTTTATTTATTTTTTTTCTAGGAGAGAGGAAGTATACCCGTCGAGGCTTTCCAGAAAACATAACCAAGAATTTAAAAAAGAAGAGTCGAACATCCGCGTTTTTTTATATCATTCCTTCATAATTTCAAGTGAAATTTTCTGGCGGCCACACATCAAAAACCAAAAAGAAAACAAGAAAAAAAAACTGTACATAGGAGGCCAATAGATCGGACCGACACGGGATTATTTTATTGTTCCAAACTCTTTTGTTGTACATAACAAAGAAAACTTCCAGAACGGAGATAAGAATATCAGTAGAATGCAGTTTTGCTGCGTATTTTATTTTCTAAATGCCAAATAAAAAAAGGAAGATGTACATCCTCGTCGGAATTACAGAACACATCAATATAATTACACTATTTGATACAAAATTTGCAGGGGGATGAAAAAAAAACTAGTGTAGACAGATAGTGAGAGAGAAACAAAATTCAGTTTGCCAAGAACAGTCGCCATTCTCCTCTGTTTTAATAATGTAAATAATAACAATTCGTTATGGCAGCCACCAAAAGAGAAAAATAAAAAAAAAAAAAAACTGTAAAAAAATATTTTAACTATTATATTTTGACCAGCTCAAAATACATTTTATCACAAATAAGTTGTGTGCATTGTCATAATCTACCATGAAAAACACGCCGAGAAATTTCAGTTTAAACTGTAAAAAAAAAAAAAGTTACTTTTACATGACAATAAAAGGCTGAATTCTCTTTTCCTCTGTTGAAATGGCTAATTTTTTAAAGTGTTGCCACTCGGTTTCGTGCGCCCCCTCACTCAAAAAACAAAATGATTTTTTAAAATTACGCGCCCTCTACCGGTCTACGATATATGCAAATTTGCAAAGGTGAGATTACGTAACGATGAGAGTTGCAAGAAGTAACGATATAATTAAGAGCGGGCGGCGGCGGCGGCTAGCAAATATTAATTTGGAATCGAATCAGTTGGAAAATAGTGGTTAGGAGGGGGGAAAAAATGCAGGGATTTTTCTTTCCGGTCCGGCATTAGAAAGAAGAACGGACATGTGTATCAGTTGCAGATGAATGGGTCGCCAAGGCATGACAAAAGAGGGATACATAACGAACGATCCGATGTGTCAGGAGCAGATGGCTCCGGACCGAGAATAATGAACGTGTTAACAATTACTTCTTAGAGGAGGAGGGAGGGAAAGAAGGAGTCGCAGCATATATCAGCTGACAGATGACAGTTTTACAGGAAATGATCATTAGTAAGTGTTCATTCAACATGATAATTAGCCCAGGCCAATATAGGTGGCGCCTCCGTTCTACCATTGATTTATACTTTTCAATTGGTCGACACCACCGCCTTAGTTCCAATTTTGCACGTAAGTAGTCGCTTCGCGGTTTTTTTATTTTATTTTATTTTATTTTTATTTTTAAAATTCTTACTAATAATAGAAAATATCCGAAACCGATATCGAACGCTTCGATTTAGTTGCTTTGACGAGCACCAGATGGCGCGGCAGGGAGTAGGTAAACCGGGGGAAATATTCGGCGACGGGGCGAAGCAGATTACTCATTTTCAGTTGTCCTCGCGACGCCCGAGGTGTTGGGGACGTTATCGTTTTGTGTCGGAGGCGCCCCTGCGGTAAATCTCGCCATTGAAAAGGCGACAATGCAGAGGAAATCAACTGAAAGCGCATCAACTCTGTTCCCCTTCCCCCCGTGATTTGTTTCTCTCAAAAAAGCAATTCGCTAAGCAAAATGTCGTTTCTCTTTACGCCCGATTGAAATTTATTCTCTGCCAAAGCCATCTCGTTCCTTTTTTTTTTTATTTTTGAAAGCCCCAAACCCCAATTCTACAGAGCAAACCCCCTCCTCCCCCAAAAGGAACACAAAGAAAATAAATCCATTCCCCGTCACAAATAATCGGGAATGCGAAAATATTAAAGTCACTACACTTCTTAAGCAAAAAGTGCATTGGATGTCGCGTGCCTAAAAATTTTCCCGTTTCTAAAGGGACTGTTTATTAAATTGGATCATAATTCAAGATCCCGTGTTTACCCAAAGAAGAATGGACATTCGGTTATACTGTAGTTGTAAACTAGAAAACATCCCGACCTTGATCTGCCAGTTTTCCTTAGCAAATGGAGTTTATACGATGTGTGTCCCCTCCCGTCCTTGAGGGCTGAAACTTCAATATCTTTAGAAGAAGATATATATATATAAGTTTCTCGCTGAGCGACCATGACGAAGACGACGACGATGATGATGATGATGATGACTTTCAGCTGGGTTCCTCGTCTCCAGATGGAAAACGTTTACCACTCGAAGTGAGGAATACACGCGTACATACGCGAATATTCTGTAGCGGTGAGGTCAAACGCCCTCTGACCCAACGCCCGTTTGAAATCCCCATCCATATTTATGATGGTAATCTGCGTCCATTGGGCTTCTATCAGGGTATATTTTTTTTTTATCTGAGTTCTTGGAGGAACGGATCGTTTCGGGATGATTGATGGCAAAATTGGGTGTTCTGTCACTGTCTGGAGTCATGTGCATTTAAATTGCTCGATCGATCTTCGTGACATGTTGTACTAGCATGTTTACCTGCAGAAAGAAAAGTCCCTCGTCCCTTTATGAAACTTGAATTTGCTGCCTTTCTTTCACGATCGGGTGGAATTTTTAAGTCTTAACCCTCGTCTTAACCCCCTCCCCGAAAAAAAAAGGAGTGGCACGAAATACAGAAAGTAACAAAGACGAAACGGAATTGGATGACAAACAGAAGTAAGAACGCAATCTCGGTGTTGACCGTTTTATTGACAGTAAGTTACACCATTCGGGAAAAAAAGTACAGCCACGTAACAACAGTCACACGACGGGGCCGGTGTCCTTCGGCCCCGGATCCAGTGTCCCTATATGGCACGAGCGTATATACATTTTAGCATGTGACATACAGTGGATGGGGGAGAGGACACGAACTAAATACAATGTCGCCTAGCGACCACTTTTTTTTTTTTTTTCAGCACTACAGCCCAGACTACTGGTTCCTCTTTTTATTTTTTTATTTTTTAGTTTTTTGTTGTTGCACTTTTATTGTCTAATCCGCCGTCCAGTCCCTTTCCTGGGACTCCAGGCACTGGATGGTCGACACCTTAGCATCACCTGACAGGTGTCCCGCGGGAGACTCTAACTAGCGTGAATGTCCATGATGTGCTGTCCCGATCCGTCGTACGGCGAACCCTGAGGTGGCAGGCCCGGATGGCCCATAGGGCCGTGAGCCATCATCATAGCGTGAGGATGTCCGGGGAGTAACATGGCTTGAGAGTGAACCGGAGATCGGAGTTGGGACATCTGAGAGTATCCTCCCATTCCTCCCATGTGTCCCATACCCATGGAGCCTTCGCTGCAGGAGAGGTTCTGCATTCCTGTCCAGAAAAAAGAAGAACCATAAGGGTGGGTATCCGGGCACTTAACGGACGACGAGTGTGTGATCGATGCTCGGACGGTAAAGAACACCTACCTGGAGGCCTGATGTGCATCTGCTGGCTGCCATCCATCATGTAGCCCATCCCCGCACCATCTGGTCCATAGGGGGTTCCTCCTCCGGCTAGGGTGCCTCCTGCCAGAAAAAAAAAAAAGGAAGAGAGAGAGACTGACTTAGTCGGGGCGGGAAAGAGAAAAGGGCCCGCCTGGCGGCTTCCATTTACAGAAGGGGAAATTAAAACTTTCCACCTTGCGCGTCATTAAGACGAGAAGAGCAGAGCCGGGAATTGAAACGTCATCAATCTTGGCCCCGTCAATTTCCGATCGAATGAAAAACCAACACAATACGGCACCCGAGCAGGATCTGTCGCAAAACCTTCGGGCTCAATGATTGATGACATTTCTAATGAGTGCAGCGCACACAGGACGTGCCAGCATCCATTAAGTTCCCGACTCTCTTCCACGCGCTAGCGTTGATACCACAGATGCTCGCTACCTACCTGCCCTGTTCGACTGGTCAATCATGGGCTGCACGATTCTTCTTCTGGCATTAATAAACCTGCAAGAGAAGAAAAAAAAAAAGAAGAAAGTTCTTATCTCTTCTACCACAAACAGCTGTTTATTTGGCGTCTCCACTCGTAAATTTCTCACCTCGTCCGTTCGGAAAAAAGTAGAGCCGTGGCTCTACTTAGCGCCCGCGATAAGGCGACATTAGCGAGTCCTGCAGGCGAGAGAAAACTCCCGAACATAAAGTTTTCCGGACGTGCCGTCCAGACACAAGGTGTAAGCTTGTAAGTGAACAAAGGAAAACGGGGGGAGGAAGCGAGCCAAGATATATTTCGAGGCTCCAATACAAGAGGGGAGGCAGAAAGGGAGAAAAGAACGATTTATGGGAGGAGCAGATGCGACGGAATTTGCCGAGCAGCAGCAGCAGCAAGCGAGCGAGCAAGCAACTGCACAACTGTGTGCCTGGCTGTCTGCCTTCCCCTCCCACTATAAATCACTGGCAGAAATTGAATAGCACCCCCTATCGCGTACTACGTCATCGGCCAACGTCGAGCTTATCTTTTTCATAAACAATCGACAAATTGCCCCAGCTCCTACGCCTCCTTTAATATATTAGAGTTCATTAAAGTTCTCAGCTAGCGGTCAACTCGTCTCTACTCGGCGGAAGTGCACCCCTTATCTACCAACTCTGATGAGTCTTTGATGCCAACCGGGACAATGTGGATCCAGTCGTAAGATGCGTACCAACAAAGACTTTTTTTTCCTCTTTTTTTTTTTCTTCTTCTTCCTTTCCTCCGAAACTTAATAAGCGATAAGCGCAACAACAATAATAATTACCGAGGGGCCCAGGGTGCTCTGCCCCTATAATCTCCAACTCCTCTATCTAGGATTTGAAAGTATCGATTTTGCAATTTGCGCTTTGTGTTTAGCCAAGGCGTCAAGAAGGCAAAACAAGAAACGCACACACACACGCGCGCGCTCCGATACACAAGAACATGCGACTAATTCCCTAAAAAATATTTATATACACTGTGGCAAAGGGGGAGAGGAGGGAGGAAAGGTGGAAAAAAAAAAAAAAGTTTATTGGAGCAGCTATCAGGTGCGTCAATCAAAACTCACCTGAGTGACGTAATTAACGAGTAAAAACGGATATAAACTGGGGGGGTATATAGGTGAGTGACTATGCGAAATGTTTTGTTAATGCCAGCATCGCCCCGAGCATCCCGTCAAGTGACAGCTCATAACGTCGACAATAATGAAAGTGTGATGGAGAAGATAAAAATTGCTACTTCATAACCTCGTGGCAGATGGTGTTAATGGCAACTAGTAAGTATTCATTTGACTTTGCAGCTGACGCTCTTTGATTTCGTCCCTTATCTCTCTCTCTCTCTCTCTCTCGCTCCCGGACGGGGGTGAGGGGGTGGGGAGGATATTTATATCTATATCCTTAATTTATACCGCGACTAAAATCGAGCGGGACTTACATTATTTACAGGTATAACGCGGGTGGAGATTTTTATTTAGCTAGCAACCGACCGGTTTTACGATCATTAAGGAAAAGCGAGTGGGAATGGAGAAGGAGGGAGGAGGAGGAGGAGGAGGGAAAGAAAAAAAAAAAACTGCACCTTTCTAGTATTGGGCGGAGAGGGGCCGGTCGCCATGGATACAAGAGAATCACTTACAGTAATGCAGCAATGTCCCGGTGGTGGTCACAGTAGGCTTAGTTTATGACCGTCCAGGGACGGGAGAGGTTATTTTTCATAATTTGGAGCTGATGCCAAGTAATCGGTAATTGCGGCCAGTATTGATTCTAGCCAGACTAGTGTCCCACGAGACACAACCGTATCGCGTCAAGCACGATTGATGGGGCGCAGTTCGCCTTCCGTCCACTCGGACCCAGACAAAGCTGGATGCTCCACACTCTAATGGCGTTTTCTTGTCTGTTTGTAAATTTTACCGCTGGAGGGACCCGAGACGGTCCCTTAGCTGGTTGCTGACGTCACCGGGGCTCGCACCTTGTAAACTCGGACGTTTACGGCCTCTGTGAGAGTCCCGTCCCTGGGCTATTTTATAATATTTATGCCGGCGAGAGGATGAGAAGATCCGATCTAATGAGTTTTTGGAGGGTCCCATCCTACCATTGGCTGGTGAGTGGGGCGGGATGGAACGGGCAACACGAACACACTCAATAGATAACGAGGGAGTCGGAATCGATATATGGAACCGCCTACATCTCCACCTGCCCGCACCTTAAATGATTACCTTTACCTGTCAGGTGCTAAGCGACAGGTTGATCGTTACATCGATCCGCGAGTTGCGTCCGAATAGGGGTCAAAGGACGGGGCGATAACTAGTTACAATTTACGCCGACGGAGAGGGAGAAAAAAGCGAGATTCGATGGAACGTGATGGCGTCATCGAAAGGGATACACTTCTTATCGGAGGCAATCACCTGGCCGCTTGTGTTGACACGGGACGGTTATCTCGCACACGACTCCCTTTCCCTTACCTGGCGCTCGTCGCCATTAAGGTTTATACGGCGCTTGGCAGCGCGCGGCGTTAAAGAATAGAGAGGGAAAGACGATTACAATGCATGCGGTTGTTGGGAATATCCGGGCATCCCGGAATTCCGAGGACCAGGGGGATGAGAACTCCTTGCGAATCGCCGTGCTTCTTTCAGAAAGGAGCTAGAAAATTCCAACTTAGCGGAGCATCTGGATGGGAGGTTTATGGAGCGAGAACCGGACCGACGCGTGAGCCGCAGTCTGAAAACGGAAGCCAGCCATGCGTTCTGAATATGTGATTACGTTTTAAAGCGAGACGATCGTGATTTTAAACCGAACACATAATGGAGATACACCTCTCATTCGGAGTCTGGCTGCAGTCTCTTCACAAAAGGGGGAGACAAGGAGACTGGAGAGGTATAGCATACCATTAGCGACAGAAAAATGGCTGCACCCCATTGTGAACAAAGGACATTCGGGAGCCATAAAGGGACCCCCGTCTCGCCAGCCTTGAATGGAGGAATTCCTGGTCCGTACGCTCTACTGCTTCTCCGCATATGAGAAGGGAAAGACGATCGCTTCATGCAAACCCCGAGCTATGATCTATGTCTGCAATCCCTCGCCTGTAAATGGGAGGACGGAACACCTTCTTCTCCGCACCGCCGGCAATAGAAATATTTTAAAACAACAATAACAGTAAAACGTGAGTGAGTGCCAGGGAAATTTCCCTTCTTCTCCCACCCTATCTACCACTTCTTTGTCTTCCGTTCAAATAGCCGGGATAACAATTTTCCAACTATACCTCCTCCTCCTCCTCCTCCTACCAATTGCTGCCCGCACCAACTTTTACGAATCGGGTGCGAGGAGGGATGACGCACGCACGGGGATCAATACGGGAACGTAGCGTGTCCCGCCATGCATGGGCCGAGCTCAGAATAATCAATAATGTTTGTTGTTTGAAGAGAATGTTTTCATTATCTTATACTATTGTCGTGTCACATTCAATTATTGCGGGTCGTTAGGACTACCATCCGACCGGGCCGCGCCTTTTAGTTTTGCATATAAACGCCCGGATAATGAGTCCGAAGTGGCGGCCTGCGCCCCAATAAAACCCATCGTAAACGCCGGGATCGAATCTTTACGCACTCGTAACACTACATAAACGCCAGCGCCGATCTTTTACTGTGTTTAAACAGCTAAACTTCCACCCCCTCTCTCTCTCTCCTTTGCGCTCGTTACGCGCTTACGCTAGCGGGCAACGCGCCGGATCCGCGCGGCGCGTTCGGGTCCGAAACTCCCCCCCCCACCGACGTTCGAATTTCCACCCCTTCCCCCAACGAAATCGAGTGGTTCGGGCGCGAAGGGAAGGAATTAACATCCATCAAGTGCATCTGATTATTGCCAACTGGAAGGACAGTCGTAATGCCAGGCATCCATTTCTGACGCCGCCTTATTACTAAATGGCAATTATGAGTCCCTCTAACACTAGCCAGGAGCAATTTCTCGCTCACAATCCAATTCCTGCGGATCACTAAATGTCATTAGAGGGCGCAGCCATTCAGTCGGAGCGTGTCGGACGTCGCGAGCAGTAATTACAGCAAGGACCTTTTTGTAGCAGCTCCGCCTGGTACGACATCGAATTGCTTTCAGCGAATTAGCCCTCCCTCATGGAGATTTCATAAATACGGAATAACTGGTAATGACGGCCACTGGCTGTTCTCCAGAATCGCATTAAATCGCACCTCTTCCAAATTTGTATCTGGATTTTTAAACTCTTCTGTCGTTTCGCTCTTAACGACCTCGACTGGTGCACCTCCACTTTTTCCCCCCTTCCCTCTTCCCCCCAACCAGATTTAGGGATTGCCGGAAAATCGGAACTCGGTTTTGTCCCGTTTAAATACCCATTCCGCCATTTTTTCAACGGTTTCAGGGAGGATTTCACACTCTCTCGCCTCCTATAATATCGCGTGTTTTATTTTTTAAATAGAATAAACCCGATTATCCGTGGATTTGCGTTGTTTTGCATGAATTTAGCTCATTAAAAAGGTTTTTTTTTTAAGTACATTTAATCGTTCCTCACCCTTTTCCGTGCACCGAACGAAACGTTTAAAGAGTATATTGTCGTACCCATCAATGGCATTTATTTTATTGTTAGAACAGTAAAAAAGGCATAAAACTGATGCATCGCTGAACAAATTCCCCGTTAGAATACTTTATTCGAGTTTACACAAGAGTTGAATAACTATTTTTTTTTTTTTTTATTCAAAACACTGGCTTTCAATATATTTATAATAATAAAAATGGCGATCGTCGGCGACTTCTTATTAACTCGTCCAACGAATCCTCTTGAAGCACAACGCGATGGGAATTTTCTTCTAATTCGTTTATAGAACAATACCAGATTCAAATTACATTTTAAATTTAATTTCTTAATTATCTTTATCAACCCTAAAACACACGCGGGGTGTCAATTTAATCGCAATTTAATGACCGAAGAAATAATACCATCAATCGCTCGGTTAAGCGCAAGCGAGCATTTGTAAATCTCG